GCAACAGAAGGGTTTAGTGACGCCCGATCCGAAGACGCATCGTGATCTGGTCAAGGAGCTGTGGTTCACACAATATTCACGGGGTCAGGGCAAGATTGGCAGTTCTGGATTTGAGCATGTGTTCGTCCATGAGGTAAAGAACGGCACCATCATCGGCTTCCACAATTGGGTCTATGTCAACGATGAGGAGCAGGCCGGTCGCTTCGACTACAAGGGTTATATGAAGGAGCAGGACATTGGCACGGTAAGGCACAATACTTTCTATGCCGCTGACAGGATTTTTGCTATTTCTTTGTCTTGCCTTTGCAGAAGGGCAAAGTTCTGAAGATTCGCTTCTCGCACCAGGGCCTCAATAAGCCCGTGGACACCATGTTCGTTGGCACCTCGCCGGAGCTGGAGCTGGCTCTGTACACTGTCTGCTTCCAGTTGCGTCCGGATCGCACCTGTCCCGTGTCGCTGGGCAACAGCAAGTTCGGCATCGTCACCTATTCGTGGCGCTACAGAGGCAAGAGCCTCATTGGCAGTGCCTATCCTGAGATTTGAGCCACGCACCGCAGCTCGCAATAGCTTCTTTTTTGTCTCACTTTCTACTTCAATCTTATGTTAAACTTTTTTTTCTCTCTGTATAATAAAGATAAATAAATATAAATTAGTGCTTTTCCTTGATTGATCTTGGTTTTATAAATTTGAAATGTGCTTAGGTTGCCGATACCTGTAAAAGAAATCGATATCAGGTAATGTTCGTTGCCATGTAGTATTTTAGCAAGCAAAATTAAGACATTATGTGAAAACTGGCTTTAATTTCATTTATCTATTTATAAAGACTTAAAAATACTCAGCATTAAGACCTTCAGTACCCTTTACATTAGTAAACATACTTCAGTTAGCATAAGGTATTTATGGCCGCACATTTAAATAAAAATACCAAGTGCGCCAGTTACAACATACTCGAAGTACCTAATTCTTATCGCCTGTGAACAGCTGTTTATTATCGATAGTTCCCTTGGTGCTTGACAGCACTGACGAAATCATCATTTTAAAGTTTACTAACACTTTTCGTAAAGCATAGAAATTGTTGAAATTGTAAGCAAAAAAAAAAAAAAAAAAACAAATTATATAAATCTAGAACAAAAATGGCAACACGTGTTGTGGCAACGGCGACGGTTCGCGCAGTTAAGGGACGCAAATTGATACCAACTCGTGCTGCATTAACGCTGGTAAGTGGTGATGAAATACAAAACTGATGAAATAACAGTCGGAATGGAATTGATCAATATTTGTTTTTGTTGTTGTTGTGATGTCCACTTTAACAGACGCCTGCTGCAGTGCATCGCATCAAATCGCTGCTGCAGGACAAGCCAGATGTGGTAAGTCATTGGGTCGATTCGCCAAGAAACAATATCAATATGTTTTCCCTTTCCATTTGCCTGCACAGATCGGCCTCAAGGTTGGCGTGCGGCAGCGCGGCTGCAATGGACTGTCCTATACCCTAGACTATGCCAGCACCAAAGGTAGTCCATAAATCATATTCCATACCTGACAAGTGGCTTAACTCGAATTGATTTTTCCCACAGATAAATTGGACGAGGAGGTTGTACAGGATGGTGTGAAAGTGTTTATTGATAAGAAGGCGCAACTCTCTTTGCTAGGTAAGTCAGCAGCATTATATAATCAACCTAATAGATGTAATTGAAATGGTTGTCTGTTGTATTACAGGCACCGAAATGGACTTTGTCGAATCGAAGCTATCCAGCGAATTCGTCTTCAACAATCCGAATATAAAGGGCACGTGTGGCTGCGGTGAATCGTTTAGCATGTAAAGCTTTTTGCACTCATTTCTTTCTCTAACTACGGAATCGCAACCCGCCTCGCAAAAAAAACCTAAATTATCTAAGTTTATGTAGAGTTTAGAGCTTGTTGTTATTTCAATTATCAATCGTCTGCAATATACTTAAGCTGCAACACTCAAATAATGTTGCAGCTTGATAAGCCAGCGAGAAACTGTTGCAAAATATGTTTAAGTTTGTTTTTTGTAGCTACGAAATTTAGTTGTAAACATTAAAAACGGACATTGTTTTTAGCGTAAACATTAAAACAACATATTCGTATGTACATAGCAAGTATGTAGCTCAAATATAAAATTAAAAAAATATGAATTAAAACAAACAGATGAAACGAAATTGCTAATTTGAATGATGTTAAATAGCTGATAAGTATATCTCTCTATCTCTTTCTCTCTAGGCATTGATTGTATTGGCATTTTGTGTATTTTCTTGCCCTATGCAACCCGACGCACACAGTCACACCAATGCTAATACATGTTAAAGTAGAGTGTGTGCGTGAGTATGCATGCAGTTGTACCAATTGTAAAGTTAAAAGTAACGTCCCGTTATCAGAAATTCAAGTCCTGCTGCTTCTGCATTTGTATATACACATACATATACACGCATGCTTTTGCGAGAGCAGCGAGAGTAAGCAAAACAAAAAAGAACGGTACATTGGGCGAGCATCGTCTACCTCACTCGATCACACGAGACTTTATGGCAGTCAGCTGTCATCGCTTGTTGCGAGTGCAACAGAATTTTGGGAAGTGCTTGACAAAAAGAAAATGTTTTTTTAAATTATATATGTATGTATGTATATTAAGCACGATGGATCAGTGTGAATAATACAATTATTTCATGGCACACACACATGCCGATGAATGAGAGACACATATTGAGCTGTACAACTGCTATAAACCTAATCAATGGGAGATGCGGGTGGGTGGGTGCTCGGTTAGCCTTATTGCTTAACGGTGCTGCAGTCCATGAATGCCAAACTCTTCGTAATCATCTCGCGTATAGATGAATTCATCGAAATTTGGACTGGTGGCTACTTCGCGTCCGCCATGCCAAGCATATCGCACTGGATCCTCTGGGCAAATGAGCGAGACCTCCAAGTCGTCTGGAACAAGGGCCCGCAAATCGCGTTTGAGACGTGGCAGGAAACCGGGGAACTGTGCACTACCACCAACAATGAGAATGTTGAGTAAGAGTTCGCGATGCGCCTGCCAGGGACAGGAACGCAGGGCATCGGCTACAGCCTCTGGTATGCCCACTTGTGGAATGCCAATGTCCGAGGGATTGAAGAGCAGCTCGGGCACAGTGAATCGTTCATTGCACAGTGGCACCATTTGCTGCTGATCCTCGTCGGGACGGGGATGACCCGGCACACGGATGTAGCCACGTTTCACGGTCGTAAAATCGGGCAGGACATATTCTACGGCGATCTCCTTGCGACGCTTCTCGCAATGATGCACGCTCATCGCATCTTTGAAGTCCTCGGCAACAAAGCAAACATCCTCCTTGATTTGGTTCACTACATGACTCTCATCCATAACATTCAGGTGACGATACGAGATGAGCTCCTTGAGATGATTCGTTAGCGCTTTGCCGCCAACATCAATGCGACGGATCGCCTCAAGGACACGTCGGCCAAGCACAAACGGCACAATATGCGTGAAGCTGTAGCCCACATCAATGATGATGCAGTTCAGCGATTGCATTGTGGTTCGCTCCTCGCTATCTGTTACATAGTTAAACGCAGCCAAGTCAGCGGCAGTTGTCTTGTACATTCCGGCCACGCGATACTCCTCGAAGAGCATCTCTAGCATTGCCTCCTGCACGCTCTGGAAATTCATTTGGGGTTCGGTGATGACAATGTTACGATTTTCCAGCGTACAGCCAATGCCCTCCTTGCTGAAGATATAGTCCCAGACGGTCTTCTGAGTGTCCCAATTAAGCAGGTAGCCACGCTGAAAGGCCAGGATGTAGAATAGGGCTGAGGTGTCGCGGCATTCGTCGATTTGGTTTCCCACAAACGCCCGACGCCTTTCGCTCTTCGCCTTCATGATGCAATTGGGCACCACCTGAGGCTCGTCCTGTGTGGCGAGTCCCACCTTGGCTGTGTACGCGCCATTATCCAACACAATCACAGCCATGCCGGCCATGGCAAAGCTAATTCTTTTTAATTTTTGCCTATTACTATTTTTGCCAATGTCAACAATGCAAACGCGAACGCACTAAAAATAACAACGCAGAATTGAGATAACAGCTGCGCAAAGCGACAAAAGTACTGTTAACGCGAAAATGAGCACAATGTTAGCAGATGCGGCTATGTTAGGGGACCTGAGACAAGTACGCTGTCTGTGTAGTAAATATAGCTAGCGATATATTGTAAGAGTCGTCAGAACGAATTAAACTATATACCTATTGAATTAGGTTTAATTTAATTAGTATTTAGACAGCTAGAATTAAATGACAAATATTGAAAATTCATGTCATCTGCCAGCAATTTTTGCTTACCTCGCATCAGCGTGCGCAGCATACCAATTTAAAACAGATCACCTTAACAGAAGAGTCAGTTAGCAAATTCTTGGAGCGTTTGTCGAACAGCCAGTTAGCAGGTGATAGTAACAGTCGACTAACAGCGAACGAGTCGCTGCTAAATGTGCAAAAGCGACTGAAGTTAGAAAGATCCCATTTTTTTACATTACGCGGTGTGCGGCGGCCAGGCGGCGCTTGTTTGCGCTTGTTCAACTTCTTTTTTTTTTTCAAAAGCATTTCGTACCATTAACGTCTCGATACGAATCAATGTGTGCAGTGTCTGGTGTTAAGTGTGTATATATATAATGATCGCTTGTGTAGCTGTGAATTTGTTTTAAAAATGCGCCAAATCCAAGCAACGGCTTTAGTAACAACAGCGACAGCAACGAAACGCAAGTGCGTCCAACAATCATAATAATAACAACAACACACACAACTAATGCCAAAATTAGCCGGCACAGTCAGCGCACTTGTTTGAGTTCTCTGACTGCTTATCGCTTCCGCCAAAAACAAAAAGTAAATCAAATAAAAAACAACGAACAAGAAGGGCAAACCAAATCGATCGAAACGAAACAAAAGCAGGAAAACCAATTGTGCGTATAAAAGCAACAACAGCAACAATGAACACATGACAACAGTGCCATTGTGCAGCAGCAGCATCAGCGTCCTATCTGTACACATGCGTGAATGCATGTATGTGTGTGTGAATTCAATTTGCGATACGCCTGAAAGATGCGTAGACCGTCCGCGTTGAGTCGCAATCATTATTTTGTGATCGGGCTGCTGCTGGGCCTGGTGCTCAGCTGCTATATACCGCAGGACATTTGGGAGTTGGTGCAGCAGGAGGAATGCCCACAGGAGGCTGCCGAAAATTTGCTCATCGAACGTTTCGGCCAGGACTTTGAGCCACATTTAAATTTGATCAATAAGCCGCTGGCGGCCAAAAAGCCGGTAAGTCTCACAGAAGATCTATACACGTATGTATATACATACATATGTATGTAATTTAAATCAATATTACACTCTTGCTCCGCACTCTTGCTCTCTATTGACTCATTGTCATTCTCGCTGTGTCTTTCTCTCTTCGTAATATAAGAGCGTTTCCGCACGTGGTCCACGCGCCAATCAAAGCGTGTCAAGCAAAGAGAGGGCCAATCGTGTCCTCCCCAGAGCTGAGCACGTGTCGTGACTTGAGCACGAATCGATCATATTGCTCAGCACATGTTACACAAACCTCATTTAAAAAATGATTAAGGCATCTAAAGGGAACCATATATTAGCTGTATTAATATAAATGTAAACGCGAAACATTTGCAGCATTATCATCTGCATTGTGTTTCAAAAATGCTACAGCTGCTCCTGTTGGAAGCGCAAACACGTGTCCATCTCTAGCCTTATGTGTTTGCATATGCGCGCGCGTTTTAGTGTGCGTGTGTGTCTCTGCTTGTTTGCTCGTATTTGTGCACATGGCAAGCAATTTATTGACCTTCTTGCTTATCGCATTCGCTTTCGTAATTCGCCTACCACCTCATTTCGGGCAGGCATATGCATCACACATATGTGTACTTATGTATGTATGTATATATGTATGTGTGTAAGTCTATGTGTTTGTGTGTGCGTCGCTAGCGTCAGTGCAGACGTCACTTTTCATTATTTTGGGGTTCAATTGCCGTTATCATCCATCCATGTTCGTGCGGCATTCGCCGTATGAAGAAGGCAAGATCAACAAGTCCAAGAAGCCAGCAACCACTTTGCAGCCGCTCAGTTTAATTTTAGAATGAAAACAGAACTAAAAAACATTTCTCGACAATTAGCACCCGGTGTGTGTCTGTGTGTGTGTGTGTGTGGAGCATCAGCAACAGTTTGATGTTGACTGTAAATGCTCTGCATGCTTAATGGATACTGCACTGTTAATGCGCAGAAACATACACACATACATGTTGATTCACTCTCATGTTACACGATAACAGTTATATTTTGGCAATTACGATGAGCGCAAATTACTGCATTCCTTGCAAATTCAATTTGATCAGCAACAAAAAATTAAAAAAAAAAAAAAAAATCGAAATTAAAAAAGAACACGCGATGAACAAAAATTCCACTGGCGCGCGCATAAATTACATTTAAATAAATAAACGCATTTCGCTTATAAACCAGAGCTAAGTAAATAACCGATAACTGATACATGCATCATGCCATAACAACATGAATACATACAGACAGACATAAAATGTAGCTATGTATGTATACATACATATGTAGTGCACATACATTTGCCAATTTACGTATGTACATACAAACATATATACACATGTATGTATGTAAATCGAGCACAGCAAAATTTATTGAATTAAATGCGAGCAACATGGCAAAAAAAAACAAAAAAAAAAAAACACGAAAATCGATCATGATTTTTGTTAAATGCTCTCTTTGATATCATATCGAAATTTTATGTAAAGGGAAAACAAATCTTATTACTATGTTAATATATGTACATATGTGTTAATGTTAACATGGAGTGACCAATTCTGACTGGATGTTATGTTAATATACATATGTATGTATGTATGTGTGTGTGTGGGTGTAAGAGATAAGAAATCAAGTGATATGGAAATATAGATTACAGGAAATTATAGCATTCATTTCAATTTAAAGCTATGCTAAAATTAAGTACGTTATAAAAAGGAAATAGAAATGGAATTCCAATATTATGGAATGTTTCCAATTAAAGTAATTGGAATTTTTATTGGATTAATAATGTTAAAATCGAGCTTTTGCAGGATTTAATTTCATTTTGAAATGAAAATGGTTTAATTTACAATAAAAAATTGTACAGGGTATTTGATGAATGGTAATGTCTATGCACTGCCATTAATATGCCATACAGATATATTTATATTAAGCTAACAATGCAAACGTTAGCGTTTTAATTAAGCGATTGACGTGAAAAAAAAAACTTGATAAAAGAAAAACGAAAAATTAAATTTTTTTTGGCAGGTTTATGATTTTGTTTTTGTTTTTTTTTTTTTTTTTCGGCTAAAATCAATCAGCGATAATTTATAAAGTGGGCAAAAATGTTTTTCGCACTTCTCCCAAAGATCACAAACGCCAAAGAGCCAGTGATGGATATATAAATATTTAATATATGATTTGTTTACAGATGAAACTGAAACTTTGCTAGCTGAAACATGTGATCCAATGCATGTTAATAGCATAACAGAATAGTTATTTTATTGCACAAAAAAAAAAAAAAAATGTCGAAAATAGTTAAAGTTTTCGTTTTGAAGCTGTAAGCTACATATTTATGACCAGAACTTATTTAATTTATACTGAACAAAAATCGAGCGGAACGAACTGCTTGCAGTTTCTTCTTTACATATAATCAGTGTTGTGTAACGCGAAACCATTTTAGGGTTTGTTAAGTCAATCTTGAGCACTTTTTATGTGATTTTGATGATTTGCGCTTCACGTACCTCGAAATAATGTTTATTATTTCGACTGAAAAGACCAACGTTTCTCTCTCTCTCTCTCTCGCTCCCTCTGTCTGTGTGCTTATTAATATTATTTTTTGTTTAATGTGCGTAAGTTACTTAGTGGATATGACACGAGCGCAAGATAATATTCGAAACTCGTTCGCATAAAGCAAAAAAAGAGAAAACATGTTCAACCGGCACGACTAGTAGATATCCTATAACTAACTATTTTCAATATAAAGAGTACTATTGCAACCCTATACTTATAACTTTGGAAATCCTTTTACAAATTTTTGATCGATTTTAATCGATTTCATGGAGCTGTGAAACAGGTTCGACCAAGAAGGGCATTAACCTTACAAAGACCTTCATGTCCTAACTCTTTTTATCTGACCGATCTCTCAAGAGATCCACTAAACCACTTCGACTATTGTCAATGATCAATGCTAAAATCATATATAACATAAATCCCATATACTCTACTTGTACTCGCCTACAGGGTATTCAACAAAAGTTGAGCAAAAAGTCGTTTTCCACTCACTTAATACAAGTAAATGACAATAACTCGAGTTTACTCAACATCATGTATGTTTGCCGTTGCTGTTGTTGTTGTATAAGCAAACATATAACATGGGCTCAGTGTGAGTGTGTGAGAGTGTGTGTACATAGACTAAGTGCTCCATTGACACGAAAAACAAAAAAACATAAGCAAAAGAAGTGAAATCACATTTGTTTGTCTGCGCACTTTGAACCGAGTGACCCGACCCGCATATCATAACCAAATGAATCTTTCATGTGATCGGTGGATTTATATAATAAAGGATAGTTTAGCCTCAAGACGGCTATACAAGACATGGAACAGCTTACTCAGCTTACTCCTATATGGCTTTATAATCTTTATTTAGATATGATATATTCGAATTGTAAAATAGAGCATGAATATTTCATTGAAAAGCTCTTATATATAATAATAGACCTTTTGTATATCTTAAAAAAAATCAATTTCTCGATCTACTTTAGAGTTCCAAAGGTAAATTTTCAAGTTGTTTGTTTAAATAATCTCTGAGATGTAAATAAAGAATATGATCTCAGATCTACTGTACAATGTCATGCGTACCAAATACATACACCATTTAACAGCTCTAGGTGCTAGACTCTCCATTCCACTTCTACTATTTCTATAAACTCTTAACTCTTATAAAGCCTATATAGCTTTTAAGACTCTACAACGATTTAGTTACACCTATTGTAGTTACCTGACAACCAAAATTCATTTTGAAAAAAAAAAGAGAAAAAAATAATAGAAATTATTTGTTTAGAAAATTTCGGTAAATGTTTCAAAACATGTTCATTGGTTTCATGCCGTCCACTGGAAGAGCTGTGATTCGTACAAATATGTCGAAAAATTGTGCCCAAATATTGCGCCGATTTTGCATGATAATGCGACAAAATTTTGCCAAAAGCTGCGAAGACAAATTGAATGATCAGATCAATCTGGAGCTAAAGGCCTGCCATCAATATTTAGCCATGGTAATATTAGAATGCAACAGATAGAGATGAAAGAGTAGAGCTATAAATAGTGATAGTTATATATATATATATATATATATATATATATATATATATATATATATATATATATGTGGATCATGGTAAATAGGTCCAATCCGTATATCACTCATATGTGATATAGATAGCATTATGTGAGATATGAAACTATAGATATAAGCTAAGATATCTTTATAATGGATATGGCTAAATTCTTTACAGAGTAACTCAATAAGTAGAGCTATATTTAGATGATGTTGAAATCTAGATAGAGATAGTATAGTATAGTGGTATAGATAGTTATCAATCTATATAATGTCCTTAGACTGTAGAGATCTTATATATCAAGATCAATATATCTATAGTCTATATGATTTGCTATAATGTCTATAGCTTCCAGTAGACTCCATTGATATGATCTGCATAATAATTCAGAGCCACATCGCAGGCATATCACTTCGATCGAGCCGATGTCAGCTCGCCGGGCATCCATAGCTTCTTTCTGAAGGCCAGCATGGAGGAGCGCGATCATGCCGAGCACATCATGAAGTATATGAATAAACGAGGCGGTCTAATACGTTTGAGCACCGTGCCAGAGCCGTTGGCCGATTTCGGGGATGCGCTGGGTGCACTGAAGCATGCGCTCCAAATGGAATTGGAGGTGAATCAGCATCTATTGGATGTGCATGCGCTGGCCGGCAAGGAGAACGATCCGAACCTCTGCGATTTCATTGAGGCCAATTTTCTGCAGGAGCAGGTCGACGGTCAGAAGATATTGGCCGACTTCATACGCCAATTGGAGCGGGCCAAGAGCGATATCGGCGAATATATGTTCGACAAGTATATGGCCTCGGCTGGCATGCACCAGGAGATCAAGAAGCGTTGAAATGGTAGAAACAAAAATTTAGAATCCCTCAGCTCAGCGCCTCT